TATTTACACAAAGCATTTCAAGGCATATGCAAATTTTTACTTCCGTTCACAATTCTTCTGAATAATTTTACGCAATTTTAATTCAGACCAAAAGAAAAAATCCTAATTTAAATATTGTTACAAAAGCGAGTTTCGAATGAAATAAGAAAATAAAAGGAATTCATTGTATTTTTTATCATATTACTTAGATTAAAATCTTATATGTGTTTAAATAAGTAAATATAATTAAATTCTTTTTTTTTTCTATAATTCTTCAAGATTTTTCTTCATTATTGCTATATGATGTAAGAGACATGATTTGCATTTACATAAAAGCTGATGCTCTTTTTTTTATTTTACAACTATAATAATTAAATTTTTTCCAAGAGCTCTCAACAAAATTCAGCACAACTTATATATTTACATATGCCTAAACATGAAACTATCTCAAGACTTAAGTAATATAAGTTTTTCCCATGCAATAAAGCTCACATACACACATGTATGTATATGGGGGAGGAGTTCCTCATGATTTTTTTGTAAAAGGTACATTTATTTAAATTTATCTAACTGTTTAATAGGAAAAGTATTTTTTCTTATCTAGTGAGAAAGGAATTATAGTGAAAATCATTTAACACGAAAATGAGAGTACTGAAATATTAACCGTCTCAAAATAGTTTCGTGTTAATGGATATTGTAATATATATTCAATAAATATTAATTCATAAGAGTGTATTTTATTTACATAGATATATGAATGCATTTAATAAAAATCAATGAAACCAAAATATTTTCAAGAACTTAATTAAATTTAATATAAAATTTATCAATACTAAAACATTTACAAATTGGGGTGTTCATTTTCTGTTTTTGATCAACAAAATTCAGAAGCTTCACCTTCATTTTAAGGAAAAAGCAGTTTACTTTCCTCTTGAGCTCTTCACCATTGTTTTCGTGAAGAAGGATTAGATTTGAGTACCTTCTGTTAAGAAAACGAGAATCTTAGCTACCACACGCCAAAATGATCGGCGTCGCATGGTGGCTATTACTGGTTTATATCGATATCACACCACCATATTCGTAAAAAATCTTCTAAAAAAAAAACTCTAACCAAACTCTCTGATTTTGTGTGACGTTTGTAACGGTGGAAGGGTATTTCAAAGCCAAGTTAGTTTCCTTTCTACAAAGCATGTGATAACACCTCTCTTTCATTTAACACCCTTCTTAAATCCCGCCTGCTTATCTGGTGTTTTTCCTATTTTGTTCATTCCCAGAAGAGAAATCTTCTGGTGTTAAGCGATTACATTTGTTAAAAGAAAAAATACATGAAAACATATATTAGTTTATTGGGACCGTTGTAGTATTTCATAATAACCGATATTTTGCACTAAACGCTATTGGGTTAAACGTATTTGACGGCATTTCATTCAAAACTTGCTGTTTATATACATATGTATATATGTTACCTCTAAAGCTCAAAATCTGTTAATGTGCTCATCCCCTAGCTAATCTGAAGATTAACTAATTTGCTCCATTAACAAGCGGAATCAAAAGCTTCCCCACATTTCACCTAAGTAATGTGAACCTTAACGGCTTCTGTACCATCAAAGTTCGAAAGTTTCATTATTTTTCTTATTTCTTCCTCCTTTTTCTCTTTATCAATCTGTTGTGAAATATATTCTAAAGATGAATGATATAGTAAGAACGTATTGTGCAGCATGTGTCGAAAGAATAGTTCTTTATAAAAGCTAGCAAAAAAGAACGTTAGTAATTCAAAATACAAATCACCTTAATGTCAATGAAGGTGTTATAGCATCATACGCACACAAAATTACGGCATTTTTTGGTAGCGAGAGGAATCAAATAGCTTTTGGCCAGATGGCACTTTTATTTATAAATTAACTTAAAAAATTTAAATCCATTATATTAACTATTCTTATCTTTACAGCCTTTCTCCGGAGAAAACTCCTGGATTAATATTTTCGTGGATCTTCAGAAGATCATCTCCTAGGTGCGGCTGTCCTCACAACCTCTTTCGCTTGTACGACCCCAGATCAGTCATTGGTGTGGTTGCCCCGCAGCCTCCGTCACTCCGTCTTAAAGATCCCCCGCAGTTTCTTGATTTCTTGATCCTTTCGGGTGTGGCTGCCCCGAAACCTTTTTCTCTTGTCCCCCGAAGATCTTCGTCACCTGCCGAACCAACTGTTTCAGTCCCCTGGGCGAACCTCTTTTACGACCCTAAAGCTGCATTCACACCAAGGCTGTCGAGCGTTGAGCGTCTAGCCAGTCAAAGACTTCATCTCGCCCGAGATAAAGTCTCTGATTGGCTAGACGCTGAACGCTCGACGCTGACAGCCTTGGTGTGAATGCAGCTTAATAGTTTCTGAATGGTGATCTTCGCGAGTCTGTTCCCGGCATCCTGTGCCTTGGTCCCAACTCCATTGGTTCTTTGAGACAAAACCCGTCGCGACTGAATCCACTATTTACCTCGAAAAATCATATGGAGGGTGTATCAGTCTACCTGTCACTTTGACACTCAGAATGCGCTCCTGGGTATGTCTTTCTCACAACTGGCTGACAGGCTTTTCATTTAAGTACTTCCCGGCCAACATTAGTGAAGAAACGAAAGAATGGATAATTGCTCAACAGGAGTGTCCCTTTTATAAATCGTTGCGACTAAAACCCATCTGGGTGTCGGAGAAAGAAAAGGTGTGGTTACATCAAAGAATCGAGAATTGGTTCAACATCTGTTTTGCCCCAAGGCGTGAAAGAAGAATACGTGTTTTCTTTTTGAAGAATGCAATGGCCCATGAGACCCTTCTGCCCACTCTGCATCACAATTGACAAGCATTGTCGTACGCAGATCTTCAAATGAGGCGAGAAAACAGTGTCAATTTGAGTATTAAAGTATGGAACATAAACTGTGATTTTACCTGTGGTGCTTAGTAATACAGGGAATTGCTTTTATAAACTTGGCACTTAAAAGGTTCTTAAAAACAATTGCCAATGCAATCTAATTTTCGAGTTTAAAAGGAGATATTTTAAACGTAATATGTTCTGCTGTAGAAACATCTTCAGATGGCAAAGCTATAAAAGTTCCTTGGTATTGGGCAGGGTAATATAATAAGTTTAGCCAATATATCTGATAAATCAGTGCTTCTCAAACTTTCAATACTTGCGACCCAATTTTCAATCATAATTTTCATCTCGGTCAACTCCATACAATAATAATGTATTGAATTCAATAATAACGTACTAAAAGCTACATGCTAAAGCTACAATATAACTTTAATTATAAACCGCACAAATTATCAAGATAAGTATTAAATTTTGTGTATAATGTTGTATGTGACAAGCCCATGGGGATCACTAGTAATTATTAATCTTTTTCTTAACTTAGTATGGATAAATTAACTATCAAATACATTATGCAGTACAGATGCATTTATAAGTATATTATATCAATGTAAATGTGTTTTATTATGTCAGAATGTATTTTCTTTTGCTTCCTTTCAGTAAATTTGCAATTTTTTTTTCTGACTTTTTCGCCCCCTTGTAAGGTTATCACGCTACCAAAGGGGGCGCTCCCCACAGTTTGAGAAACGCTGTGATAAATGAATTTAAATATGCTTAAATGAAATTTATTCCATATTTGAATAAATAAATATATCAACTTTTAAAAAATTAAATTATTTTCTTTCGCTATGAAACATTGCTTATAATTTAAACAAAAGTTTCAAAGAAATAGATAAATATATTTTTTGTTGAAAGAATAATAATATGTTTTACAATTACTATATATGTGCCAAACAATAAACAATAAAAAAATAGAGTTGTAGATTTTACAGTTCAAAGTTTGCAAGAAAAAAAAAATCAACGATTGTCATAATATAACATCATTAACGTACTATCACCTTTAAGATAGTTTCAAAATTTCATGAAGACCAAATGACACGCAATTGTATCATATCAAATGGTTAAAAATAAGAAAACGACGACAATAAAGATAAGAAATTCTTTTCATGAAAAAGCGTATAAATTTCTCTTGGCTTTTTATTATTCTTTCATCCTAGTTCTTCCCGTTCTTTGTTCTTCCTGTTCGCACCATCTTTACAACGGAAACCGTTTTCTAGAACTTTGCAATGCTTTATTTTTCAGTGTGTTACTCGGGAGCTTAATATATTTTAAATTACTTTTCTTCCAATAAATCCCAGCTTGATACTCTCATATGTGAATATATTTCTAATGACTTTTTTTAATCACGGTACTTTTAAAACTATAATGTTTTAGTAATACTTTCATAATATTAATACCGTGTGATATGATGTCTGCGAAACCCGTTCCAAGCTAATCTAAGTAAAACAGATACGGATATACAGTAATAAGCGAGTTGCTTTTCTCTTTTATATATATTATATATATATACATATATATCATGTATAACATATAAACTTTAGACTACTGTAACACCTTTTAAGAATCGATTTTCACGAAACCTATTTTTAGAGTATCTCTAGTCATCAAAAGAGCCATACATGGAAAATATTTAAGTCTATTCGTCTAATAGATCCACGTATTTTGTGATGATCGCGTGAGTTTAATTTGAGCAATATTTTTCGATAATTTGTTTCCCGTTAAAAAAAAATGACTCACGCTAATTTCCAGGTCTTAATAATATGGAGTGCCCCTTTTTCCAATTCCTAATATTTGTTCACCCTCTCCCTATATATATATATATATATATATATATATATATATATATATATATATATCTTCCTTAAGTTTTCAATCGTTGATAAAATACTTTTTATTCATCCACTAAAGTTCAAATACAACTTTTTAAACTTGTAATGGATGACATTTGATGTGCAACTTTTTAAACTTGTAGTGGATGACATTTGATGTTAATACAGTTTTTCAAATGTCTCTCAATCCATTGATTAAATTTAATTATTGAATAAATAAAAACAAACAAGAATAATAGTCCAACACCATATATGGAAAGGAAAATCCCTCATTGTGTCCCTGTAGCGCAGTGGATAGCGCGTTGAAATTCTAATCCAAAGGTCATGGGCTCGAATTCTACTTGGGATGGCATTATTTCTGAGAATGTGACTTCTTTTTACTATACTACTTTATGAAAATAATTAAATTTAATTAATGAATAAATAGTAACCCAAACCAGAAATGAAATAGTCCAATACCCTATAAAGAAAGAGAAATAAAAAGTTGATGGGAAAATAGCTTTCTGTTGTGTCACTTAATGTTGTGATTCTGCCATATGTATAAGTCGCAGGGAAATGATGAAATTAGGGCTTTCATCAAATCCCTAAGGGAGATTATCTGTTCCCGGAAGATGTTAAAATAACGTCTCTTTGAGGTCATTTCCCTGATGTAAGTAAGTGATTTGATCAAATCTCTGAACTGTTTTAGTCAAATGATGAAATGAACAAATCAGCAATAAAAGAGATATGCTTTCGCTTGTTACCACTCCCTTTTAACTTCCCTTGCTCGTCGTCCATTCCAGTCAGCGCCGGAATTCGGACGTGACGTACCAAAACAAAATGACCTAAATATAATTTTTTTGTTTTGTTTTATTTAATTATATTCTTTGCATCATTAACTTTCCATTAATATATAACTTGTGTATGCCTGAAACTAATAAAGTGGATAAAACTTCAATTGGAAAATGTAAACAAACAAATTAGGGAATTTGACCAAGGCCTCCTTATACATAAAAAAAAAAAATTGACAGTAACAAAAGCTATATATATTCATCCATTGAAGTACAAATACATTTTTTAAATTGTATTGGATGACACTTGATGTTAATACAGTTTTTTCAAATATTAATTCATTAATTGAATTTTATTTTTAATTTTAAATTTATTTCGCATTATTTCTGATGAAGTTAAAACTAGCATCAACAGATGGCGCCAAAAAGTTTTTATAACAATTTTTTTTTCTTGGCATCAAATGTATTTCTTTAAAGTTGTAGTGGATGACACTTTAAGAGGTTTTCAAATATTAATTCATTAATTAAATTTAATTAACTAAAGTAAAATTTTTCTTTGTTGACCTAATTAGGAATTGACTTTATTTTTTTTATATTACTTGTTATATTATTGTTTTAAATGGAGAAATATTCATAAGAGTTTGAACATCAGAGTTAGTACTCAATTTTACAAAATGTGGAAAGAATAAACACAAGTGGAAGTAAAAAGTTTGAAAGTACTATTGTAGCAATACACTATTGTTAATATTAATTTATTATAACATTTATACTAATATGATTTATTAATTGTGAAGCTTTCACTTTTTTTTAAGGTATCCGACTAGGTTCGGTAATAAATTTTTCAAAAATTGATTTTCTGAATAATTTAATTGTTTTAAAGAACATAAATAGGCTTAAAAAGTCATAACTATTAAATAACTAACATGAATCGCCCTTTTTTTTTGAAAAAAAATTATTTTTAGGAAAATTTAGCAAAATTTTTTAACTTAAGAAAAACGTGATAAATAAAAGTAAATTGCACATTATGCAATTTTAACGTCTTTGATATACTTCTTGATCCCTCTGAAGTGTCACAAACTGCAGGATAAAAAATATTTTAAGAAATCAACATTTTATTAACATTTAAATTTGATGGTTATGATTTTTCGTCAAAATTCCTGCATGTTCTACGTTAAAAATGGCTGTAAAATGTGATTAAATATAGCTGTCATAAAACTTGCGGTTTGTTACTCTCTGAAGGGCCCATAGCATATATGTTATAAATTTCATTGCATTTGATTGGATTATTTAGAAGATATCCCATTTTCGTGCACAAATTATCATAAGAAGTTCATTCTTCAAAAAATGAATTAAAAAAAATATTTTTATTAGTTAGATAAAGTAAATGCTTTTAAAAGAACTTAAAAAACTATTTTTATGTATTAGTCCTTCTACCTCAATTATTAATTTATTTTTTCCCTAATGACCCGAACAACATGAAACATCCCAAAATCACTTTTTCAACCTAGTCGGATACCTTAAATAAATTATGTGCATTAATTTCAAAGAATAGTTAGCAATACTTTTTTTAAGGTTTCATTAAGACTATTTTTGACACAATACACAATAATAATATTATTTATATAACTATCTCTATAATTCTGATTTTAAAATATTTATGTTTCTTAGGAATACACAATGTATAATTTCTACATTTACAACACCTTGTGTAATTATAACAACATATTCCGCTTATTAATACTTGTTTCATATTACAGCATAAATTACTTATAAAAAAATCGTCTCTGTACATTTATACGTAACAGACGGGACAAGAAAGAAAATCCGTCGGTGGCAAAAATGTATATTCACATATTACCCGGAATGTCCAACAGATGAAAGAAACATCGTAAAGCAATCGGAACAAATCAAACAGAATATAAGATAGGTACCAATAAGGAAAGGGAACTGTGATACCATGATCTCGTAGCATTACATTATCGGCAAATAAGGTATCATGTGCTATCACCTGAGTCGGTTCTTTGAGTAGATTCACTGCAGAAAAAAAAGAATGTAGATCTCTGTCAATGATATTTGTAGCTTTCTTCTTTTGTGAAGGGTAATGTATCAGTATTAGAGAAATAGATGCTTTCTGTTATCGCTCTTTTCATTAGAGATTGTTTCTTTCACACACACACACAGACGCTGGTATGGGGATTTAAGCTTTCAGTTGATATCCACCTGTATTGATATCTCCTGGTAATTCGACATTAATTAGATTGTGTAACAGATAGTGAGATCATTGAAAGCAATTTGTAGAAATTTAAAAATATATATACCTACCTGTTTGTTTGTAAATTGCATTTATATTAATTAATGCTGTATCAATGTATTGAAATAGCGTAAGAATTCAATTGATGTAGGATTGAGGAGATGAAAAAAATATATGAGTGTGCTTATCAGCACACGATAAAAGTGAAAACTTCTGATTTATTCCGGGCATGTTAATTTATTTGTTCGGAAGCAAATTTTCGCATGCGGGTGTTTAATAGTTCTCTTTTTCGTACCCATTCATTGATGGATTTGTTTATTTCATCCATTTTCTGTAAAATGCAATGTTTAAATATTTCTACATTCTTATATATTTATATATGGGTATATACGATTTTTAAATATCAATTAGTCTAATTATTTAAAATTATTTGTTTGTAAATTACTTATGTAGATTGTGTTTATATAATAATATTTGTTTATATGGTACTTACGTACTTCGAAACAATGCTGATGTTCAAGATAACTCACCAAATTCGCAACCCTAATTTTCTATGTGTCGTTCACACTGAATTGGCAATTATGTGCTTCATTTCATATTATGTCGCCAATACTGTTGCGGTAATACGTAAGTATAGTTTATATAACTTATATATAATGCCGTGTATTATGCAAGTCGATGAACACTTATGTCCTGAGAGCTGTTTACTTTTTATAAAATTCTCCAAGCTAACAAAAGAAAAGGGCTCGTCCTCTTTCATAATGAATGTTTTTATTTTCTCGTAATCTCTGAAAGGTATTCGCCCGTGGGTGATACCTTACTTTTAAGTTATCTTCGTGACCTAGAGGTGTGGGAGTGAATGCAGAATCAGGTGTTGTTGTGATCTTAAAATGTCTTTATTAAGATCTTAACTTAATCACTAACAATGATAATATTTATATTATAACTTAGCGGATCTGAGGTGAGAAAACACACAATACGTATTATCAAATAAGCATGATCTTAACCACGATATTTAACTTTCCCTTCTGTTCCTAATCTCTGTTTATATCACGGTTACTAATAGATACTAGAATTATCCAACCTTAATCTCTTGTTTAACCACAATTTTCTCGGATCCTAAATATCTTTTATCTCGTGTGGAATTGTATCCACCTTGACTTGATCGCTCTGTTACGGATAACTTCACACTCAATGATGGCTTTCTTCTCTTCTTTCAGTTCAAGCGCTTAAACCAGACTAGTATAATCACTTCCCAATAGGTCATACGCTTACGTTAAACTTCTGCTTATTTAAAATGTTTCTAATTTCAATGTTTACGCTTCGCTTCTGGATTTGGTTGGAAAGAATTTGCCTTTTTCGGCTTCAAAGAACCCAAGAGGAGTTTTTAGTAGAAAACGCGATGAGCCCGTCACATCTCTTAGCTTTCATCGCCAGAATAAACTAACATATTAGCAACTTTGTAGCCATTAACTTCATTAAAATTTCGGATTTCAATTATTCTGTTCCATTTTTGCGCTTAAATGCTTTTTCTACTAAATCAAAAGAACAGATCCCATGTTTCGTTTCTTCTTACCTTTAATGTCTTACATAAGAATACTATTTCTTGAAATATTTTCACTTGCCCTTCTATTCTCTCGATCTCTCCCTGGAGTTGAGTGGAAGTGGGCTGCATGTCAGTAATATAGATAAACATGTTTAAAAAAATGGATTTCTACATATATCTCAATTCTTTTGATTTTAAGGAAAGGACATAACCTTATGAAATATCATTTATGGATAACAGGAGCATTTCGTCACATGTGGCATCCATTATATCTTCATGTGCATCATCGAATTATACTTCATTTTTTCGTCGTTACAGTTATTTTGATCAACAAGTAACTAATTATTTCCATCTAAATTGTTAGATGTAATATATTTTTAGATGTCTTTTGAATTATGTCAGGTTCAATATCCAATTAAATACTTTTATTAGTCACTCAATGGCGCATTTAGCCTCTTTTTGAAATTGTTTTATCTTCTAACACCTATTTTACAGCTCTCTAGGGCCTTAGTTCTGGTTTACCATTGTTCAAAAGGCTGGTATAATACCTGAAATAAATGACTTCAAAAGATAAGAGCATTGCCTAAAAGATACGAGCATTTCAGGCTTCTTCGGAAAGGAAAAAAAAAGAGAGAGTGTGCGTTGTATGGAAACATTCATAAAATTAAAAAATGAAGACAGAAAGCATAGGTACGTGTAATACGAGATAGGATTCAAAAGTTCCCGGACTGCGTCTTTAACTTAAAAAATATTACCAATTAAATTGCTGAAATACACCCTCC